AACGTAAAAATACATCTTGAAAATCTTAGACATCAACTGGAGCATTTTACAGATCCAGGTTCAGAAGCTACGCTCCTATCGAACTGAGGAATAACCCCATTGCCAATGTTGTACTTCCACACCCTAAAACAGAAAGTGGAAGATCATCTTTTAACTTTAGGGGTGCCCAGACATGGAATAACTTGCCCCAAAAGCTGAAATCTCCACGTCCAACAAGCAGTCGTCTTCTTGTACAACAGCTTCAGCAACTTACTTAGGTTTTTCGTAGATTTTGGGATCAGTTGTATTGTATAACCATGTAGTAGTGTACTCTATGAAGTGGTAATTTATGAAATTTTTGTGGAACTGTGTACAATTTTGGGGATGGGTGGGTTGATTATATTTGTAAAATGAGTTCTCATCTTTTTTGCTAATTGTTATCCTTTTTTTTATTTTTTGCATTGTATTTTTGGTATTTTAATGTCTTAAACTATGTAAGCTGGGATCCACGGGAGATCAGTGAGCAGGCTTACTGAATGGATTACCCAGGGTAAACAATAAATTTAAAAAATAAGATAAATAAATATCACATTGAAATTGAAGCATCAAGAAGAGTTCTTACAATCTTGTTGAATATTTTCATTTGTATAGAATGTTGTCAAACATTTTGCCTTGCACAGTTTGCTACTATTTTGCACTCAGCCAACTGAACTGGTTCTGTTGTAATTCCAAGTTCACAAATGATGAAGAATTACACATCTTCATTGGAACATGTGAAAATGCTCATTTCAATGTAGTTAATACCAGGAAACTGGTTAAATCATTTCACGTCGGAAAATTCATGTAACAGTTTACTGGTTAATTAAACAAGGAAACATTAGTGTTGAGTACATGTAGCAGTGAATGTAATGAATATTCTTTACCCTCTACATAGGAAGAACTGGTAATTTCATGAATAGATGCAATGCTAATCTCATAAATGCAGAAATTAAGGTCAGCAATCTTTCTCTGTCCAGGGAAAGTTGTTTGTATGCAGTTTCAAATGGTAAAGTATTCAGCCAAGTACAGAAAAGGTGAAATGTACAGATTAGGTCCGTTTGTCACGGACATGCAGTAGACATGGTTTCCCAGCCATCTAAAATAAGCTGGAAAAAGTCCTTTCTAGTAAAGATATTGACGACTTAACAATTGTTGGCAACCCCCTTAGGAATCCTTAACCTGATAGAAAACTGGGGCAAACCACAAATTGAGATGACAAACTTTAGGTGTTGATTTAAGCCCTGGAATTCTGATAGTCATCACCACTCCCTCCATTCAGTGAACCAAAACAAAGCTTCTCAATACTTGTGTTAATTCATACCAAAATAGAAGAAGGAACAAGACAGAAAAAACTGACAAAGCAAATGCAGTCTTTTGATTGATCAAGTTTGCAACCTTACAACAGATGTAGTAAGGCCATTCTCTAAATTCAGGATCTCCGAACCTTTGGTGCAAAGTTTACACCTGACCTGTGTAATTTGACTTGGAAGTATTGAAACTGACTTCAAACTATGTTTGTTTTCCAGATAATTTGTAGGACTGAATCACTCTTGAAAATGAAAGAATGTTTTCTTACCAAACAAAATCAGATGTCACGTGTGAGAGGGACACCCAAAAAATTGAACCCAATGGGTGTTTCCTCCAGAACAGGTGTTTTACAAGTGAAATACTTGCACTGAAGAAGGAAATTATTAGATTTGGAAATTTCTGACAATGTATTGTTTGTTTGGTACATAACAAGCTATCACTGACAAACTTATGCCATGTTGTTTTTATTTTGACCCTTGGAATGCTATCCGAATGTAGCTGTCTGTAGTCTCTAATATTTTGCATGAAGTTTTTACTTAATTAATAAATTCTTCAGCTATTTAAAGTTATCAAGTAACGGCAAATACCATGTTAATTGGTACAAATAATGTGATGTTCAAACTGACTGCCCTAAACATGTAGGTCCACGGCAAAGCATTCCCATGAATCCCATTGCCATGGAAACAGACCCACGTCAGACATGTGGCATCTGCAAGAAGTATTTCTCTGTTCCTTAGCTTCTACCTTGCCTTTATTTTTCTTCTTCTGAACCTTTCTCCTCATCAAGCAAAGAAGATCCAAGCAGTCCAGGGAGTTTGTTAAGTTCATGGAGTGGACTTGGCAGCCACCATGGCATGACTATCTCTTGCCTGGCAGTAAAAAAGTTCTAATTGTGAAACCAACCTTTCTAAATCATCTCAGTAAGCTGAAACAAGTCTTACATCAGTGTATCCCTCAAGTCAATAACATGCGAAGATTCAAGTCAAGGGCTAAAGCTTGCAAAGTGAATGGATATCAATCAAGTCCTTAGCATCTTAGACACGGAATAACATGAGCAACTCTACCGCATCTTGGGGAAGGTATGTCAAAATTATTTTAGGTAGTTTTTCATATTTTGGTTTTTTGGTATGAAATCCCGAAAAAGTATAGCCATGGTTTTGTTAACCCATATCAAAATTGATGTTTTGTCTTATTCAATATATATTCGTCAAAATTTTGCATTATCACTTTCAAATGTGGCACTTTGCACTTCCCTCGCCAATGCTACTGCCCTGGAATTTAAACTACTGGAATCTTCTTAGTGTAAGATGACACCAAGGAATACTGTATAGGATATGTGGTACATTAACTTTGCTTGAAAAAACAGGAAAACACCTGGGAATTGTGTTCCATTTCCTCCTGGGATTTTGTAAAAAAAAGTCAAGGATATTTTCAGGTATTCAATTCAGTCATAAATGGTTTGGATCATATTTAAAAGGAAGTACTTCTCAGTGGGGTAGAACTGGTGTGTATGGATGCCATGTTAAAAATCCAGTGAAAGAAGTTGGCCTATCTTTTAAAGTGAGTTTTCAAATATGTTGGTATTCAGAATTTTTTTAATTACACAGAAAAACCTTGTCAGAACCTCTCCCTCATTGATTACATGTCAAATTCATCTTTACCAATTCTTGGTCTTGGATATCAAGTTGTAGTTGCCCTGTTTATACCCTCAATAAGCTGATAAAGTCATTTCCCCACTAACTCCTTGAAGTTTTGTAAAAGCAAGAACAGGTAGGTACAGTTGGTGTTTTTAGCTATCTTCTGGGAATGTTTCATGAGCTATTTGTTTATGTTCTCATTTTCAATAGGACAGGAACAAACGAGGAAATGACACAGAACTAAATTGACTGTTACCAATAAGTATTGATATTTCTTAACTAATATAAAAATTCAGATCTTCAACGTTTACAGTGCATCAGTAAATAAACAATCAGGCAATGGCACTCATCAGTGATTGACTGCAGAGATTTAAAGGATCCAATAAATGAATTTTTCTTGGAATCACTTTTTATGTATCTCTGTATTTTTACATGAACTGAACGGTGCACTTTTTCAAACATTAAAATTGACCAAGCAAGTAAATCCACAAAGACATGGTTCAAGTTGCATGTTTTCATCTTCAAATTGTAAACCCCAAACTTTAGTAAAAATTTATCAAAATATTTCTATTTCCTGGTTCCTTTAAGTCCCCTAGAAACTGAAAAGAGGAAAGAAAAACAGCTCAA